CACCAGACCCCAGACAGGGTCTGCCTGGTGGGGTAGAGGAGGGAAGTCCTTTGAGGCTTTTCCCTCTCTCTGGCTGAATGGGGCAGGGGAGGGGGTGGGGGGGGCATGACCAGGCCTCAGCCCAGCTGGCTGAATATGATGGGAATGGGTTTAAACCCCAACCCTGGCCTGCATGGATCACAGGTTGGGTCCACCTGGCAGGGGCAGTGGGGAAGCCCTCCGAGGCTTTTTTGCCCTTCCTGCTCAAGCAGAGACGGGGGGCCATGGTCAGGTCCAGCCTGGGCTGGCTGCCTAAGTATGACAGGGTAGGGGGGGTTAATCCCCAAACCTGATCCACACCAGCCCCAGCCCCTGCCAGATCAGCCTATGGGGCATTGGGGGTAGCCCTCAGAGGCTTCTCCCTCCTCCCCACTTGAGCAGGTGTGGCCAGGCCCCAGTATGACTCAGATGCCTAATTATGATACATGACTCTCCTGGGAGTGATTTAACCTTGGTTAGTCTCAGGTTATTTTTCTCCTGGAGTAGCCATTTTTTGCTCTGAAAGAAAAATCCTGAGCATTCTGTACACTTGTGGTTTCTCCTGGGAAAGCATGACTCTCCCAGGATAAACAAAATGTCTGTACATGGCCCTTGATTTACTACAGATTGCCAAGACAAGGACCCTTTTCAGAGAAGCTAGAGAAGCTGCTTGAGCTCTGGTGGAATGGGCTATAAGTCTTAATGTTGGGTCTAATTTAGATAATTGTAACATAATTTAAGATAAATATGTACCAGATCAGACAAAGTCAATATTCCCTGACTTTATACCCAGTTTTCACAACCTACAAAGAGCAAGGTAAAATCGCTAAAAATATAATCCTAATTAGATAAAAGAACATGATGTGAAGTTAAGCTTTTTTCATTGTTGGAATGTGCTTTGGCAAAGCAAAGAGGTAGGTATATTACTTGATTAAGATAGATATCCAACATTACTTTTGGCAAAAATCTTCAGACAAACAGCATTACCCTTCTCTTATGAAGTACAGTGTATGGAAGTCCTGCCATAAGGACTTGTATTTCTGTTACCTTTATATATCTCTTACTGTACTGCTGCTAGAGAGATGGCCTTGATAAATAAGTGGAAAAAGGAACATATACCAGGAGTGTAGAATTTGGACTATCAATTCTGTCAGCACTTGGTTAAGATGTCTAGAAAGGGGAAGTTCCCCAAGGCCCCTCTGAGATCTAGTTATTGAATACAGGAATATTGTGTAAACCTGAATAGGAGTATGATTAGCTGACTTTGTTGCCTAGCAGCTATCACTGAAATCATAGCCCAGTGGTTCTCAACCTTTTTAGACTCAAAGAACCCCTAGGTAGACTTGAGGCACCCCTTGGAAAAGGCCAGCTCTTAGTTTTCACTCTTTTATGGCTAGAGAAAAATAACAGAGCTGATTTCTGTTGCAAAGAACTCAGAAAGACTATAATTATGGATTTCTATTTGAAATATCTGGTTTTATCTTGTGGATCATGTTTGCTTATCTAATAGTGTTAATATTGTATGTCACTCCATGACAGCTTTAGAAGGATCTTAGCACACCCTGGTTGCGAATCACTGTCATAGACAGTTCTGAACTTCTTAGTGACAAGAAGAATTTCAGAGTAGTAGTGTATGAGCTCTAGTCACAGGTGATTGATATTCTTGGGCCCAGATAATGAATCACTTCTATTCATGTAAATATATAGATTCTTGATGTCTGAAAAGCAAATCCTCTCAAGTACTGTCAACCTGCTAGCATCATGTCGTTAACCACAAAGATGATGGATTGGGATACAGAAATTGGATCTATTTTTCTTTCTTGGAAATGATATCTGATCAAAGCAGTAAGCAGGTCAGAGGTCAGGTTGACAAATTGATCAAGTCTGAATACCAAAACTAGCATTGAACATTCTGGTATCAGTATGCATAGGTTCCCTGAATTCTGACTGAACTTCCAGATCATTATCTTTAATGGGAAATGTGTATATGTTATCCCTAGAATCCAGGGAATTCATAACATATTAAGTAGTGATCACAGACTTGTAACTCTTCTGGAACAGAACAAGTCCATGAATGTTATCCCTACTTTTAAAAATATTTTCTTTAGGATGGTGTTTTTTACTGATAATTTATGGTAATTTGCAAACTGCCTGTGTAACAGGGAACCCTAGCCCTGTTACTAGAAGACAGGTCGGCCCCTTTAAGGCCAGCACTTTCTGGGTACCGCATGCCGGTAAGGCAGGGGTTAAAAGCTGAGCCTGGCCAGCTAGTCAGGTGACCAGAAGGGGGCAGGCCAGGACTACAAAAACCCTGGGCTGAATGGCAGTAGGGGCCAGCAGCCAAAGGGGAAGGAATGTGTCCCAGAGCTCCATGGAGAGGCTTGGTGAGTGGTCCAAAGGCTGGAGGAGGGGAATTATGGAGGACCCCTGAGAGATGGCAGCAACCCCAGAAGAAGGACTGTAGCTGATGGTGGGGAGACAAAGCATGAACCCTTGCGTAAATGTAAGCTAGCATGCTGCCTTCTTTAATCACATTTTCTCTTGGTAGCAGTTATTGCCCATGGACAGGACTGTTCATATTTTTTTTGTTACTGAATAACACCGGTGGTTTGGGGAAGGAGGTCTCATTGGAACCCCACTACAGCATGGGGACCCAGCGCCAGTGTGGGCACAGGACTTGGGGTGCACTGACCCCAGTGCCAGATAAGGTGCAGTATTCGGGGTACATAGGCCCTGGTGCCAGTGTGGGCACAGGATTTTAGGGTGTACAGACCCCGGTGCCAGAGGGTGTGATCCTAAAAGGCCAGGGTGGTCTGGTGCACCTGAGGTGTGATTTTGGTGGTTTTTTTGGACTGGGACAGTGTGAGTTCAAGCCGTTCCCTGGCCTTAAACTTGCAACCCCCTGGCTGTGGCACCAGTGGCCAGGCCTCTAGGCCAGGCTCGAGATTGGAGCAGAAAGGAGGGCCATGAGCCTGGGCCACGAGCCTCAAGACAAGGGAAAAAAGGTTAGTGCCTCGGAGTCAAACCCTGTTTGGTGGGTTTAGACAGGGAGGCCTAGCTAGAGAAAGACAGGGGTCAAGGTCCATGGAGGTGGAAGACCCCAACATACGAAATACAATAGGCAGTCTCCTGCTTACAAGAACATCAATATAATAATTTCCATCAAGACGTGGCAGATGAGTAGAGAGCAGGACACAAGAACCTTAAAGGGGACTTCAAGGGCATCCCACGTAAGGCACGGATAACAGGGAAGATGGCATTGGGGAGGGTGACCTGTTACAGCCTGGAAAGACTGTTTGCCATAACATTTTTTTAAAACATAGGTCCCTGGCAGACCTGACACTTAAGACATGATTAACCTTAAATAGTAATCTGGACACATGTTTCGGTGTGGCTGATTTCCATGGCACTGTAAATTGAACATGTGGTAGGGTCCCTGCCAGGCAGTTTGATGCTGGCTGCATGGCAGAGCTTGGTTGACAGCTCCCTCATGTTGGCAGGCTGACAGTTGTGTGATGAAGCCCTGCCTGAGGCTGTACCTTGCTGTTTTCAGGATGACAGTTGGTCATCCTGCTTGCATGGCATGATGCAAACCAGATATATCCTGCTTGCATGGGACGCACAATTTTGGCATTGGGGATCAGATCCCAATGGGGATCAGATCCCAAATGATGCATTATCACTTGCCTGTGAAGAAGGATCCCTATGAGCTCACCTAAGATCCCAGTCAAGTTGAAAGTTGCGTGACCACAGACAGTTTGAGCTCATTTGGGTGCCCAAACAACTGGGTGCCTAAGCTGGTAGGAGACTCTGGTGGGGTCCCAGGGCTGAAACTGACAATCAACTGATTGTCGGTCTCAGCTCTGGGAGCACACCAAAGCCAGTTGGAGACTCCAGAGCAGTCCCAAGGTTGAGACCAACAATCGGCTGCACCCCTATATCTAGATATTGGAGAATATTGCATGTTCAAATCCCAACCTCTCTTTTGGCTTTAGATGATTGAGGATGGTTTTTCCAATTCTAAGATTTATCAAGAACTAGGTATACAAGGAAGAGAGTAAATTATACACTATTCAATAAGCTCTTAGGTGGGAACCATACAGACACAGACTGTGGATGAAGTCTTCAAAGGACTAGGCTGGTCAAAGAAATCCAAATTTAAATTATGGGGTGCCCACACAGTAAAAGTGGAATGCACAAGAACTAAACTTAAAATATTTTTAATCTGATCTTTAAAGAGTTCTGATTTACAATAATTATTTTTTAATAAAGCAAAAGAATAAAAAATATTAACTCAACACTTAAAAAAAAAAAGACCACAGCAGTTTTGTGGGGCATATAATTCAGTAGTCACCAAAATCTAAAGAACTTGGTCATTATACTTTTCCTGCTTCAGAGCACTTTAAAAAAATATTGTTTGCCTTAGTTTTGCTGGTTGCTTAAGGCATTAGTTTAGAAGTTGCTATTCACAATTACATTCCATTTAAATTTGCTGTATCCCATTTCCAGCAATACCTAATACTAACAAAAGTGAAATTTAAGGGACAATTATATTATAGTTCAGTGAAATTCAACATAGTGTGTATTACCTTCTCCAACCAGTCACACTACTACAGTTTCTAATTTTAACTAGTATTACTATTTACTGTAAAGAGTATGAAAAAAGAACTGAAAGGAGATAAGATAGTTTACACAATTTTGTTTAAAGCTGCTGATGATAATGAGATAAAAACAAACAAGCCAAACTCTGGTTTTCCTGTCAAAACATGAAAGAAACAAATTCCTTATGTATTCATTGAGTTAATATTTAATTGGTGAGTTGGAAACAAGATTTTAACATGCATTGTGCAGCAGACGGACAACACAAGTAAGGTTGCAACAACAGACAATTAGCGTGCATATAACCCTTTCTATCTTAAAAGCTCTTTACAAATATTCATTAATGCGATCACAAAATGTTAAAAAACATAGTTTAGACTTACCCACGTTTAATCTGCCTGTGACTTCTCCATTAGAATTGCGAGCATTCACAGTCACATTATGAGTAGACTGGAGAAGCAGGGATGAGTCCTATAGTATAGTGAAAGATTTATAGATTAAGCAGAACAAATGGCATTTTCAACCCTTTTTTAAAATTTATTTTAACTCTGTAATTAGAGGAGCCTTTGCAGTTACAAAACTAATCAAATTATGGACTTACGATGAAAGGATTAATTTAGCCCCATGTTTCTGAATAAATTTTGTATTTAGTTCTCACATATAGCTTACAGATATAGAAAAAGTACTAATTATTTGTACTGGTGTTCAGCATTTTTTAGTTGCACATATGGATCAAAATTAAAACTCTAGATTTTAAATTCTAGATGGCCTATGAATATATGCTAGGTAAGAAAGACACAAGGCCATCTTTGGAGTTTTTGTACTGGAGTTGTAGTTAAGGCATAGGATCATAGGAAATTAGGGCTGGAAGGAACATTATGAGGTTATCTAGTCCACACCCCAGATCAAGTCAGAATCATCCCTGACTAAACCGGCCCGGCCAAGCATCTGTCTAAGCAGTTCTTGAAAATTTCCAAGGATGAACAGTCCACAGTTTCTCTAAGTAGCCTGTTCCAATGCTTGGCCACCCTCACAGTGAGAAAGTTCCTTCTAATCTTCAACCTAAATTTCCCCTGCTGCAGCTTGAGGCCATTGCTTCTAGTCCTATCACCTACAGCTACAGAGAAAAGCCCATATCCATCCTCTCTGTAATCATCCTTCAGGTATTTGAAGACTGTTATTAAATCCACCCTCCCTCTCACACTTCGTCTTCTATTCTCTAGACTGAATAACCCTAGTTCTTTCAGTCTTTCCTTGTGAGTCTTGATTCCCAGGAACCTAACCATTTTTGTTGCTCTATGCCATACTCTTTCCAAACTGTCCATATCCTTCTTGAAGAGTGGGGCTCAAAACTCAACACAATCACTTTGCAAGTGCCATTTCTGTTAATACACTGTAGTATGTTGTTGGCTTTTTTTTGCAACGAGAGCACAATGTTGGCTCATCTTTAGTTTATGGTCCACTGTAATCCCTAAATCCTTCTTTGCAGCACTGTAGCCTTGCCAGTTATTCCCCAGTCTGTATTTGTGCATACAATTATTCTGTCCTAAGTGCAGGACTTTGCAATTGTCCATGTTGATTGATTGCAGACCACTTGTCCATTCTATCCAGATCATTTTGGATCCTAGTCCAACTCTCCAAAGTCCACCTAACTCAGCGTCATCCACAAATTTTGTAACTCAAACCCATCTTCCAAATCATTAAATATGATAAAATTAAAGGGACTAAAAAATACCAGACCCAGGACAGACCCCTGGGGAACCCCATTTAATACTTCCTCCCAACTAGAAATTGAGCCATTGTTGACTACTCATTGAGTATGATGATCCAACCAGTTATGCATCCATTTACAGTATGTTTGAGTCTGGATTTTCTTAGCTTGTTAATGAGAAATCAATAGCAGTGTCAAAAAACTTGCTATTGTCAAGGTGTATCAAATCTACCTATCTACAGAGCCTGACACCTTATCATAGAAGGAAACTTGTATAGGCTTATAATAGACTCCAGAAAAGATGCACAGTCAGTGTATATATTCTTAGTAGAGTTCATTTGGTAAGAGAAGCTGCTAGGAGATAAGAGGAAGAAAGCTGTTAAAGTAGGAAAGTCAGATGCTGTGCTGGCTATGAATAGTCCAGTTTTCAACAGACAAACTTAAAAAAAGAAATTATAACAAAGAAATAAATGTAAGATAGTGTATTCTGAAATGGTACCCAAGAGATGAATCCATAGGCAAGTAATCTTTTAAATAGTTAAAAAACACTTTAAAAACATGAAGAATTATAATTTGATTATCTGCTGAGTCAGATCCTTTTTTTACGCCCTTAATTTATGCCAGTTACTGATGACCACAATTGGCCCTTCAACAGTTAGACAAGTATTAGTCACTGTCATACCACTCTTTTTTTTTTTTTCAGCCATGTTCCCTCAATTGAAAAACTGAAGGTGCACGGTAGAGGAACTCCAATGATAAGTCAACATTTTCACTCTAAGCCTCATTCATCTAAGAAGACTGTGAGTAAAACTGTCCTAGACAGCCATCCTGATGGTCTAGTTAAATTCTCATGTGACAGAGATACAATATTAATATGAAAACCAAAAATGCCATTTGCCATGTACTTGGGAGAGCCACACTACAGACTATTCTTTACCAATAAGCTGATAAAGATAGGTATTCATTTCAAGCTGATAAGACAATTCAGCCATTTTGTTTTTGATCTCCTTGGGGAGTGCTTTATTTTTTTAGAAGTCCTTTTGATTGATAGTAATACTTATAAAGTATAATATTACTGTATAAACTGAAATGGCACATCTAACCCTGAAGAAGATTCTGTTTTATCTAGTGTGTAGATAACAAAAAGTGGTTCATAACAAATTCATGTCTAAATAATTTAAGATCTGTTCAAAGCCCCTTTCTTCTTCTAAATTAACTTATGCGTTAATAAAACCCCTTCATTCCACTTCTAGATACACAAGCAGTTTCAATCATCTCATATTTTTAACTCAATCTGCTTGAGAAATGTATCCTGTCTCCTTGCTCAAGTATGTGTTTTTCCCCTATGCTCTGAACTCAAAGCAAAAGAAAAAAATGTATACTTCTGTGATGACTGTAGGTGTTGTAGGGCTTGCTGCCACTGCCCTGAGCTCATTTTCCTACAGGAGGTGACAGAGTGGACCTCGGCTTCAGATCACCTGGTCTGCCAGGAAGTTGGTCTTTATGTTTCTTGCCTGCCATGACTTTGATATTATATTGCTAGGAGGCAATGTCCAAGGTGATCCTACCCGATCTCAATCCCTGTTTTCTTCTGTGGGGCTCCAACCCTCCCCTTTCCCCCCCCCTAGCCTCTCCAGATGGCACTTGTAGTTCACTGCAGCCAGATCTTAATGCTGCCTGTTGGTCTATTATTCTGCCCTCAGCCATCAGGGTGACCATCGGCTTTGGTTAGGCATACACCCTTCCAGGGCTGGCTTTGGCCTGCACTCAAATATCCAAAAAAAAAGACAAAGCAAAACCCGACTGCTCTGTCTCTTTGTCAGACTCAGTCCATGTCCCCTTCACCTGGGGTAAGGCTTTCATGTCCCAATCACAAAAAAAAAAAATCAGTTAGTCTAGTCACTGCTCTGCACAGGCCTGCCCCGGCTTACTCGTGAGCGTTCACAGTCCCAGTGGGATCTCTCCCATGTGCAGCAAGGCTATAACCTGAAACAGCAATTCTTCTAGCTTTTCCCCTGGATCCTCAGCTGTCACTCTACTCCAGGGATTATCAGAAGCCTTGTGTATGCAGGCTTCCACCTGCCTCCTTCTCAGGGTCACACCCGCAGCGTTTCTCCGGCAAGTTTTACAACACTTGCCTGTTGGGACGCTCAGCCGCTCCTCTCGCTGCAGTTAGCAGGAAATCAACCCCATTCTGCCCCTCTCCAGGGCCGGAAATACCTCTGAGCAGCCTCCCTCCTCCAACCGGAGTGAGATGCTGCTCCGGAAGTGTGGTGATTGCTTCTCTTACCTTCCGGTCTCCAGCTGCAGCCCTGCTGGCCCTCCATGCTGTAAGTGTTGCTTGCTTTCACTTTCCCTGTCTGCTGCTGCTTTTCTTTTCCTGACCTCCCCTGCCCAGCGTGTAAGGCACCTCGGGGCTTTTGTTTACTCTCTCTCACTCCTTCTCAACTTTCTATACAATCTTTAGATGTACATACATACACATAAAGATGTCATACATTTAAAATATGTGCCCTATCATATACCTTATAGGGGAAAAAAAAAAGGAGAGGGGCAGGGGAATTGTTATTTTTATTATTGTTTTTAAAGAACCAGAAAGGAATATTCCCACATTTCCTATACAACCTAAACATTTTAGAGATATTTAAATATTCTATGATGAGAGGCTGAGAGCCATGGGACTCTTCAGCCTTGAAAAGCGCAGGCTCAGGGGAAACTTAATGGCTTCCTATAAGTATATAAGGGGTGTACATCAGGATCTGGGGGAACGCCTGTTCACCAGAGCACGTCAAGGGATGACAAGGTCAAACAGTCACAAAATCCTCCAAGACCGTTTTAGGGTGAACATAAGGAAAAACTTCTTTACTGTCTGAGCCCCCAAGGCCTGGAATAGACTGCCTCCAGAGATGGTGAAAACACCTACTCTGGACTCTTTTAAGAAACATCTGGATGCCTATCTTGCTGGGATCCTTTGACCCTAGCTGACTTCCTGCCCCTGGGGCAGGGGGCTGGACTTGATGATCTTCTGAGGTCCCTTCCAGCCCTAATGTCTATGAAATCTATTTAAACCTCCCTCTCAGCTCTTAACAGCTGAACTCAGGATAAGAAAGACAACTGATTCCTTGCTTACAGGGGAATAGATAATAAAAATAGTCTCAACAAGAAATATCTTTAAGTTCTCTAAAACATTTTCTAAGCTTTTATTATCACTCATTTGGAATGACTTGCATGATTCACTTACGTTATGAGCAATATGTTTACCTATTTAAATTTCTGAGTGTTTATCCCCAACATATCTTAGTGTTATCATAACATCTGAGCACCAATATCAAGCTCATGTTGATTAAATCTGTATGCCATGTTATCCCATCCTATATTCCAGAGTATATTTATATATGCCTACATGTACAATATAGCATACATGCAAACAAACATACATGTTATTGATTTTCTTGGTGGATGTCTGTCCTTAATATTAAATTTAACTTTGTGTGTGTATATTAATTCCCTTTCAACATGGCCAACTGTTTTATTTTACTTACCTCTCTAGAGTGAATTTCTTTGGCATACAAAGGGAATAAGAATTCTGACTCTCCTTCCAGGCGGAGTCCTTCTTTAGTAACACGAAGATGTCCCATTCCAGTCTACCAAAAAGAAGAAACAATGATATGTACTTTATTTTTACCACAGAGTTTCTTTCTTGGTAATTTCTTATGCTAGACAATTAAAGAATTATCTTTTCCCCATCACTGTTCTGTCAGTAGGAATACCTTCACAAAAACACTTAACAGAATGACCAGCACTTCAACATTATTACTGATTTCCAGGCTTATTTCTCGGTCTGTAAGAACAGATATCCCAATACGATTTAGTAACATGGTAAAATTCTTTGAGGTAAAACTCTAAAAATCATGTGATGCAAGGAAGAAAGCAGCAGGAAGTAATTGAATTTTCAGTCTTCTAGTATTTCAGCATGCAGAACATAAAATAAGCCAATGCAAATGGGGCATGCTACACAAGACACCTTAATGCAACTTAGCCTAGTTTACTGCATAATACGGGCATGTGTCTACAAGTGTGCACCCTTGCTGTGCAGTAAAAATGACTAATCATACCTAAATTTGATACCTGCATTTGCAGGTATCAAATTTAGGTGTGATTAGTTAATGTGCAGCAACACACGTGTAGAAACGACCTGGCACTAATTTTAGTGCCAGGTCCATCCAGCCACTAGGGGGTGAGCCTGAGCCCAGCCCCAGGGCTCCTGGCTGGGAGCCTTTCCTGCTCCAAGACTGAGCTGCTCTCTGACAGGCCCTAGCTACAGGGTATAAAAGCCTGCAGCCATTTTATGCCTTAGGGTACACCTACCAAGGAGCCTGAGGGTACCTGTTCTGTATCCAGGAGTCCAGTAGGCCTTGTGTGCCTCCCTGGACAGGCCACAGGCTGCATCTGCCTGGCCTGTCCCCTCTGAAGAGTGGCTGCTTGGCTATAGGTAGGTGTTGTAAAGGGCTACAGCTTGATGCACACCTTGCCCAGCCCTGAGATCTCCCCAGGGTTTATCTGGCAGCAGGGCTAGCACCTGCTCCCTGCTGCTGCTCACTTCCAGCAGTATCTCTTTGCAGGTGCTGTGATGAAGTGTTTCTGCCATGTGGCTCCCAGTCGCTGGCTATGCCCCTCTGTTGAGCGCTCCTGAGTGTTGTTCAGGGCTGGTCACAAAAAGACTGTTCCTCCCTGGGGGGGACCCTGGCCAGGTGCTGGCCCACCACACACCACTGGTCCACCACACACTACCAGACGCAGGTGGTCATCCATACCGATGGGGAGGCCCACACCGAGACACCATCCTTCCCAGCCCCAGACATGTGGTAAGTCCTTCACTGGGGGAAGGGCCCTGCCCTGGCCCCTATCCCTGGTCTCAACCCCTGCCTCTGCTCCCTGGCTGTCCCACCCACATTCCCCTGGCCCTACCCCCGCCCTCACAACAGCACACAGAGAGGCGGGACACAATCCAGAATTTATTGAGCAGCCTATGGCCCTGCATTTGGGGGGACACAGGCCTCTCACACCCTGAGGAAGGTGTCTATGCTGGCAGCAATGTTCTCCTTGGCAGCGGGGGCCAGGGACATGTAGCACTGCCACCGGTAGCCCTCCAGGCGCCTGGCCCTTGGTGCAGAGCTAATTCTCACATAAGACTTCTGTCTCTCGTCTCTGCAGGGCCAACATCTGGACATGAGGGAGAGCCCACCAGCCCCAGTGGGGATGTGGGCTTGGAGCTGTGTGGATGTGTGCACAACATGGACTGGACCCTCCTGCTCCGGCAGCTGGTGGTGGTGGCGAAGGAGCAGGAGGTGTGGGAGCAGGCTTAGTGGCCAGAGGATGTTTTTTACCATTGGTGGGTGGGGAGGGTGGTGGAGGATCTCTGTTGCTTGAGGTGGGGAGGGCTGGGAGTGGTGTTGTTAGGAAAATACAGTATTTTTGTTTCAACCATGTGCACGCCTTGAGAGTGGTGCTGGGGGTGGGCTGGTGGTAGGGGGTTGTGTGGGCAGTGGGGCAGGTGGGCTGGAGTGGGGAGTGCAGGATTAGGGAGTCGGCCAGGGCCTCCCACACCTGGAGCCCTGGTCCCCGCTAGTGGGTGCATAGCTGTCCTGGGGTCTGGGCCAGAGGGGGCCTGCTTGGGCCAGCAGCATGGCCAGGAGGAGCGCAGGACACTGGACATTGCTGGCAGGGGCTGCGCTAGAGCAGCAGGGCACTGGGTGTCCACTTGCAGGGGCAGAGGCAGGGCTGGAGCAGCCATGGCACAGGGAGGCAGGGTGGGCAAGAAGGGGGCCGGCACGTTCTGCCCCCTCGGTAGGGCCTGGGGAGGGAAGGGGTTGGCTAGGGATCAGAGTTTCCAAGATGGCTGCCAAGTGCTGGCAGCTGGGTCTGGCTTCAATGTGGCTGCCAGAGGCTGGCAGCCATGTGACACATGCCAAGTCCCTGCACATGTAGACACCTGCCAAAAATCGCTTACTGTGCATTAGCCTAATGCGCAGGAAATTTAGTCGTGACTAAATGCACATGTAGACATACCCATGTATGATCAAAAGGAGCCTGCAAGAAGTTCCTGAGATACCAGACAGAGCAAGAGAGACATATCGTCCTGCAGGACATCAATATAAGCAAGAATGGGATGAGTGGGAGGGAACACTATGGACTCTCTTTAGTGTACCCTGTGCCCAGGAAAGACAGAACCAAGTCCTACTAGATTTGCATGAGCTGGCTACAGAGGACAACCCTGTCTGTGAGACCTTCTAGAGTATGATGGTCATCATAAGGCAGCTGGGAGATCCCTTTATGAATCTGAAGTGCCTAGGGGTGCCCCAGGACTTTGTTGGAGCTTAACAAGCTCACTTTAGAGAAAAGCAGATGAATTGCAGAATATGTTTGTTCTTCCAAAAGGATCATGGTAGCACTGATTCAGAGGCCAACAGGAGACATAGTGAATAAAATCTGATTACAGGTTTTAAGTTTTAAAAATTATTAATTAAAAAATCTGTTACATATCTGCTCTAATGCAAAAGTGTGTGTGTGTAGGGGACGGGGGAACCTTAGGTTGAACTTTAAAGTGAATTTGCATTATACATGCTTATGTGAACTTACTTTCTAATAATGTGAGAAAATCAAGTGTCTCATACAGGAATGGTCAGATAAAGCAAATATTAAGGGTGTATACTTAAGTATTTTTTCCCCTGATAATATATTTCAGTGGTGTCAAACAAAGTGATATTTTTTTCTTAATATCCAACCTAAACTTTCCTTGCTGCAATTTAAGACTACTGCTCCTTGTCCTGTCCCCTAAGGCCTGTCCCCTGAAACAGAGTGTGTGTGTGTCTCTCTCTCGCTTTCTCTGTTGTTTGTATATCCACCTTGGTGACTGAAGACTGTTACCCCTGCCTCAGTCTTCTCTTCTCAAGGCTCAGTAATCCTATCCCTTTCAGCCTATCCTCATATGTCATATTTCCTAGACCTCTCATCTTTTTGTATCACTCTTTGCTGGGCTCTTTATAATTAAATGCAAACATCATACTACAATTAAATACATACTAAACTTTCAAAGAATATTACCATATTTACTCAACTTTAAGATGTTTTTCCCCCCAATCAGCATGGGTTAAAAATGCTCCTCATCTTACATTTGCATTCAAGAAAAACTCACTAAGTGCACTATCATTAAACTGCTGCAATAGGTGCTTAGTAATGGAAATCAACTACAAAGCAGATTAAATGCAGCTAACATTGAGTATAACCATAAAACACATGACCTGTAACTTAAAAAAAACAAACTATTTTGTGTTCCAAGTCAAATCAGCCAAATCTTTTCCAAAACATATCAATCGAACCGAACTCAATCTTTCAAAAAAACCCATATTAATAGAGCAAGCAGGGCTCAATTGTTCTAAACACCATTGTATGGTGCTGCTACCAGCGACATCCTCTATCCCAGGCTCTCACCCTGGAACTTCAGATACTCCCAAACCCATTGGCAAGTATCCTATGTGCAGGCTCAAACCTGGAGGTGTTGGGATTTGGAAAACCCCAGAAACCACTTAGCCCATAAGAGCCCAAGACTATTTTTAATTTTATTTAAATTTTCCATATGCCAAGCCAAATTAACCAAAACAAATTCCAAAAGCGTGAGTCAGTCCAGAACCATAAGTGCCCTACTACCGGCAAACATCCTTCACCCCATCTGGGGCTTCAGATGTTTCCAAATCCTTTGGTGGGCATCCTATGTGCAGGCCCAAGCCCAGAGGCTTGGGGTTCAGATGCCCCCAAATTTTGCTTGCTCTCAGCCATAAGGCCCCAGGGGCAAGCCAGAGAGGAGTCTCCCATTTCCATAAAGTGGGCTTAAAGCCAAGACCTTCCCACTCCAGCAGCTAAGCGGGAGGTTTACTATACATTACCTTGGCAGGTACTATCCCTGTGCCAGGAGAGCAGTCTTCCCCGGTGCAGCTAGGAAGACCACCTCTGTGGTCATGGTGCTTGCCTTGCCAGATAAGCATAGGCTATACTTGATCTGAGCCTTCAAGAGGCCAAGAAATTTTTTTTAATGAAATTTTTCATGTTCCAAGACAAATCAAGTCCAAATCCATGAGTCAGTCCAGAACTATAAGTGGCCCTATGACCAGCAAACATTCTCCACCCCCACCAGGGGCTTCAGATATTTCCAAAGTCTTTTGGCAGGCATCCTACGTGGAGGCCCAAGCCCGGAGGCTTGGGGTTCAGATGCCCCCAAGTTTTGCCTGCCCTCAGCCATATGACCACAGGAGCAAGCTGGGGAGGAGCCTCCCATTTCCATAAAGTGGACTTTAAGCCCCAACACCTTGGCAGGCTGCTCTAGTGCCCCCTGGCTTCTAGCCTGAGCCACTGCAGACATGTACGCATTTCCAGTATTAAACATGAATGTCTTTTCACTTGCAAATCAGTTCAATCTTTGCAGATTACATTAACCTGCAAAGATTGAATCAATTCAGGCTCCAGCTTTTGAATGTCTGTCTCCAGCTAGAGAGTCTACATCACAAAACAGGTTGGCTAGTCAAAGGCCTCAATGAACTGTAAAAGGGTAGGGTGCCATGGAACAAATATCAAAAGGATTACAGCCTAA